GGTAAGAAAAGAAATGAAGATAAAATTTAAGTATTTTATTGTAAATTGAAAATTTGAACCACCACAAATGTCAGTCGATAAATTTATAGTGCGGTGGTTATTTCTTTGCTGTAATGATGAAAGGATATGATTATATTAACGCGAATGAGATGGTAAACAAGTAGATTTACTGATATTCGTAAGCAAAATTAGTGTCTAACGTTCTTTATACTCTTCTATATACAAAGAAATATTAAATATGATAGTACTTATGAATTTAAATGTTGCTAATCTAATTTACTACTTAATTTGTTAATGTTAAAAACATCTCGTGTTATAAATTTCTAATTAAATCTATTTATTTAACAGCAAATTACGTATGACTATTATTTTTTATTTATGGACCTATAAAAGGTGCTTTTTTTTTTTACAATTAACTTTTTAGCCCGTTGGAATTATTATCTGATAATTAACATTCAAGTTTTCCACATTTTTAATAATCAACTAACATTCAAAACTTCCACTAATCAACTTAATCATTATTTTTCTGAAGCTTCTATTTCATCAGCTTGACTTGTTATATTGCTCTTATTGGATTAATCAGTTTTCTGTCGTGGTGCTGGTATTAGACCTGTTATTGATCTCTGTAATACCTCGTCTTGACTTCTATTTCGTACCGACGATGATAGCACACCAACTGCAGTTACTATTAAACTCGGTGCTTGTTGGTTTTTATTAACTGTTCCAAAATTTGTTCTAAAACGTCCACCACCTCGAAGTGCTTTGAAAACCTTTAGTTGTCTTTGCCAGTTGGATACTACTGATTCATCATCGCAGAATGTAGGTGTTCTCATTCGCTTATATTAAAACAACTTTTCAATAGGAATTAATCGGATGACTACACCAACAGGTAGTGATAAACAACCCAATCCAATGCACGTTAACCATTGAATAAAGCCCAAAGGTACTGTTTGAAATGCATGCCCTCCAAATTGGATTATTAGAAATTGACCTATGCCAATTATAATGAATATTACAACGAAAAACCCATTCGCTAAGATATTTTTAAATACATTGTACTTTTCATCAAGGTTTCGACAACTATTATAAGAGTAGATGTTAAATAAAGTTTAAAGAACTGTTTAAACCATTTTTGAAAAAAAAACATACTTGATTTCATTAAAAATCTGTAACATTACAAATGTATTAAAAACAATTGTAGCTAGCGTCTCTGAGTCCAATCTATGACCTACTATATTATCAGCAGCGTATAATAAAATTAATGTGATTGCAAGTTGAAAGATACTTTGACCAATAATCATCTTCCACATTTGAGGAGTTATTAGAGGTGCATCTCGATTCCCAGGTTTACGCTTCAATAACTCTTTAGTTGGTGGATCTGTAGCAAGGGCGAGAGCAGCGAATGTATCCATGATAAGATTCACCCACAATAATTGTACTACTGAGAGAACTGATTTTTGTTGATCACTAGATACTGCAGATATGAATGTAAGTAGGACAGCGGTAACATTAACTGTGAGTTGGAATTGCAAAAACTTTTTAATTGCATCGTTTACACAACGACCCCACATTATCGCTTTTACTATACTCGAAAAATTATCATCCATTAAGATGATAGATGATGCCTCTTTAGCGGCCTCTGTACCGGAAATACCCATAGAAAACCCGACATCAGCAGTCCTTAATGCAGGCCCATCATTAGTACCATCACCAGTTACAGCGACGGTATCATTGAGTTCCTCTTTTAATTTTCCAACCAATATTTTTTTATCTTCAGGACTAGATCTTGCGAGAACTTGAAGTCGGGAAAGAATTTCTTTCATTTTTTCAGGTGGTAAGTTACGAAATTCAGGACCTTCCATTACTAAACCTCCTGTAGTATAAATACCACATTGTTCTGCAATAGATTTTGCAGTCAAAACATTATCACCGGTAACCATACGAACTTTAACTCCAGCATCTTTACAATCTGCAACAGCTTGTCGAACGCCTTCTCTCAAAGGATCTTCGATACCAACAATACACAATAACGTAATATTCAACATTAAATCTTCAAATTTTATCTCACCCTCAGGATCTAAAGTTATCCCATCAGGAGGCCACTGTTCTAAATCACGATATGCTATTGCAAGAGTTCTTAAACTTCGACTAGCATAATATCTTATAACTTGTTGAGTATTATCTCTTTCCTGATCAGTCAATTCAGTTTCATCACCTGAATTAGTATCGATTATAGAACGAGTTTTTTGAAGTAGCATTTCACTAGCACCTTTAACATAAAATCTAAAATAAGAATCTTCTTTAACTACAAGACCCATGGCTTTTCGTTCCGAACTGAACGGATAAAATTGTACAATTTTAGCATCATCTTTTAAAATTTTATAATTTACACCTAAATCCAAGAGAAGTTGTAATAAAGCAGTTTCTGTTTTTGAACCTATAAAATTGATTTTTCCATTTTTTGGCTCGCCCTCAAAAGCAGTAGTATTAATTGCGATAGATTTATATAAAATGTTTAAAATACGTTACGGTAAGTTTTTTATATCTTGTATGGGTGATATACTTTTTAATTCTTTTATATTGTTGTTTTGGTGATTTTTCGTATTTCGCAAGATGATAGAATACGCACAAGATTATTATCCCTTAACATACGTGTTGTTGCATAAGCAAGAGCTATAAATACATTTACAAATATCAAATGTCAAATGTCAAATGTCAAATGTTAAATGTCAAATATCAAATATCAAATATCAAATGTTAGCGTTTAATCAATATAAATAGCTAATTTATGAACAAAAAAAAGGAAATTTTAGACAAACCAAGTGTTACAGCCAAAGGTAAGCCTCCAGGTACAGCAACGACCACAACAGTGACCGCTGAAATAATTATTCTTACCAAATTATCTATTGCTTCTGGTGCTGATGGTGCACCATTGGTACGGAAAGAAATAAAATATTTAATCAAAAGAACAATAAGCATTAACAAAGCAGCAGCACATCCTAATTTTGCGATTTGTTCAGTGAGGTTATTCAACTTGGCTTGAAGTTTACTATCAGTATTTAAAGCTTGAAGTGATGTATCTTCACTATCAGTATTTAAAGCTTTGTTAAATAAAATAAAACAAATAAATAAATCAGTTATAAAGGTAAATATCAGAGAAATTCATATCAAAGCATAGCATAAATAATTCGTACACAACCATCTTCCTCTGCACGAATTTGCTCCAACACCAATAACAACATAATTACCAACACCTTCCATTACCCTGCTTCCACTTATTTGAATCATATGAATTATTCGATGCCATTTTTTAAGTTAAATTAAGCATACGTATGAACAAAAATACGTATAAAGAAATTACGTACGTACGTACATATATATCAGAAACATGTTACACTGACTGATTAATGTAGCACCAGGGTGTAACAAAATGTTACACGATATATTCTACATATTGGGCGTAATGTCAGTACAAAGATGCACGGATACGAGTTATCATAAACAAATACACAAGCATTGTCAAACAAAAGGCAAATCTATCTCGTCACACACCCCACTCGACTATCCACCACCATCAAATATATGCCCTTAGGCAAACCCAAAATATACAGCAACAACAGCACATTTCGACATTTACCAAAATGATAAATCACTCAGGTTTCTCAAAATCATCACTAGCAATAAGATTACAACAACTTCAGAATGCAGCAAACTGCAATATTTCAATTCTTACTGAACCCTCTGTCTTCCCCAAACCCCATCACAATACCCCTACAGCAAATATAATCATGGAACTACACAACCTACAAATACAGTTCACAAACACTGCAAACCCCTGACCTATCCCCAAAAACCATCTGGGCAACACTATAAATAAAGTACTGCTCCATCTAACCCAATTACATATATACAAAAAGCAGCTCAATAACCATAATATAATGGCTATTGAGCAATTTTGCAATATTAACAGTAACCAAACACTCACCTAGAAACACTTTTACCAGAATATATTAAAGATCCCAAGGGCAGGGAACCAAAATGGTACAAAAACATCACAGATGCAATAGCAGCAGCTAAAAACCTACACTCAACACTACAAATGCCAAACCCATTTATCATACTTAAACAAATATCCAAAAAATGAAACGGGATTATTACATGCAATAGAAAAACTGAATTCAGAAAAGTAACAAAACTACTTGACTCTAATTTAATTATAGCATATTGAGAGATTAACGTACAATCCAACCAACTTGCAAAATGCAAGGGCTGCATGCGGACAATCCCAAAATACAAAACATGTTATATAAAAGTAGCAATAGGAGATACAATAGTAACACAAGTAGACAGCAAGAGACAACTACATGTCAATCTGGATGATATATATCAAGCAATAAAAATCAGGGCACAGACAAACTACAACCCACAGAAAGCAACCCCAACACACAGAATAGTTGTCAGAAAAGATATATTCACATGAGAAATACTCACGCCTGACTCTGCTACCAACAATATACTTTGGAGCATATACTAACAACTCAAAAACACTATGAAACTCACAGCCAAGATGGATATAATCAAACAATATAATGACCAAATGACTGCAACATGGCAAATAGCAAACACTCCCCACAAGATATTTCTACAGAGCACAGCCTGTCCTTCCAAAATATATACACTCCTTATAGGAGTTATGACTCTATTGATAGTATCCCCTACTAGTAGCAAACTAACAATACACATGAGATATCAATACATTACTAATGCAATAAAGGAAATTATCAACACTCTAATATATTATCTACGGCAAATATATAATACACCAAACTGGATATACAAAATCAGTATTAAAACAATCTTAGCTAGGAAAAACATAGCTATTCTAATTGAACACAAACCTAATATAGAGCAAATCACATCAACAACACTAACCCTCTCTATCCAAATCCCCTATGAACAATTCTTGCACAATATATATATTCCAACAGTTAAATATATCCAGGTAGAACACAAAATCAGAAGACTGATTAGATATTTACAAAATGCAAAAACTATGGCCAAATGGCATAGCCAAAACAGAATTCAAACAATGATACACAAACCAAATGACTGAAAAAAACTTTCCAATATATTAACTATGAAGAC